GGTAGTGAATGAAGTACTGATGGGGACTGAGGTAAAAGTAGTGGGGAGACTAACCATACTGCTGGATAGGTTAGGTTACCTAGGCCTCACAACCATTATACATTTCTGATTTTCATTATATGTAAATAGTTAAATAATTTTTCATATCCCTTGTTTATCATTTTAAACCATCTTCAACTATTTCTTTTAAATAGTCAAGTGGGCAACAAATTAAAAAAAAAATGAGGAAACTTCACAATTTACTTTAAGAAAAATAAAAACTTTAACGTTGTGTATATTTATCAGTTCTTTTCCCATTTTCCTCAACAAATTTATTAGTTTCGCAATACCTTTCCTTAATTTTTGTAAGTAGTAGACTTATATTTTACTAACTTTTGTCAAAACTATTTTCTATGAGACTACTACTAGATAGGTTAGTTTACCTAGGTCTCGTTATTAAGTAAATAGTTGTTTATATCCCTAGTCTATATTATTATTAACCATTTTCAACTATTTTTTCTTTAAATATTATTTTCGCAATACTTTTCCTAGATTATTGTATGTAGTTGACTTATATTTTTCTAACTTTAGTCTAAACGATTTTCAGGCACTAGGAAGTAATTATTATATCACCGTTTTTCTCTTGATGCCCATTATTATAAATGACAATGTCCAAATAAGCATATCTATACTGTTTCTTTGTTTACAACTGAGCTAAATTGGTATCGGCAACGATAAGTAATGATCAGTGATGATTGAACGTGTAAGGGTCTTCCACGATCAAAGCGATCGCGGGCAATCTTGGAACTTCTTGTGACGTTCATTCAGAATTATCGTGTAGGGTCTGCTTAACAAACCATTTCAAAAAAATATTCTCAAATTTTAGCTACACATCCGTCAACGACGGGTACTTCAGCTAGTTATGAAAATAAATAAAGCAATTTTGGACTTTTTTTATATTTATCATTAATAATAAGCTGTTATATATTATTACTTAAGATAATTAATATTAATGATGATGATGATGATGATGGTAACAGAGGATAGATTAAGGAAGGATGGGAGCGCGGCGGGCAGGTGACGTCAGAGGGCGGTATTGATAGCTACAGAGTGACGTCAGCCGGGGGCTCCTTTCGGAAGGTGGTATTTAAATAGTTCTTTGTTGGAATCAAACATCAGGCAAACTGTCATTCCTTATCAGTCATCATTCAAACTGTCATTCCTTATCAGTCATCATTCAAATTTAATCTAAAATGGACCAAAGTTGTATCACATTTTTCTATAAATATTTTATCATTATGATAGTTACAGCATTATTTAAAAACGACTCCACTTATTTCTAAAAATTCAGTTGTTATTTACTTTCATTTATTTATATATGAAATATTTAGTAAAGGAAAGTATTGCGATCGTGAACATTTTCAAATCACAGTTTTGATTAAATTCATCATATCAGTGTAAAATTAAGCAATTTTAAATAAAATGTAGCTTTTATTGTGATTGATGTTCTCTAACAGGGCTTAAATGGCTAGTTTTCAATATTAGCTTCATCTAAAGTACCTTTAATTTATAATCATTTGAAAAATTTTACATTTTACATTAATCTCTAATATAAAAGATAGTTAAATATAAAATTTAAAAGAATTTGATAATTAAATAAAGGATAAATAAGAGATCGTAGCGGAGAATAGTTGTAATGGAGGAAACAAAGGGATACGAGAGTGCGCCCGAGCTCGCATGGAAATTTTTTTATTTTATTTAGAAAAAGTACATTTTGCCCCAATTAAGGGCATTGAGTATTTAGGATAAATGAAATACAAACATACCATATATACAATAAAAGAAAAACAAAATTATAATAAAATAAAATAAAACTTGGAATAACAGAATAAATCGATCATGATACAACATTAAATAAAAAATAAATAAAAACACATTCATACTTATTTACAATATTTACAGTCAGCCGAGAGAGCTCCGAGTCGAGCTTTTTCCCCCACTTGTGGAGGATGAGGCAAGACTCCAAGAGATCCCAGCGCTTCTCTCTCAGCCGCATCACTAGGATGGGAATCCAGTGGAGATCTTAGTCTCTTAGGAGAGAAACTAAAGCCATACAAGCTCATGACTTGAGTGGAGAAGCTGGCCATCGCCAGGACTCCAATGACGTCTTTACAAAAGATCTCGAGGCCACTGCCGCTTCAACCTTCGAGGAGGATTGTAGGGATGACTGGAACTGGATAAGGATTGTGCTAAGGGATTAGGATGATGGATTAGGTGCTGATGAAAATTTGAAAATCGAGATGGAATAATGTCAAGGACATAAAGGATGTTGAGGTCATGATGTAAGGTTTTGTTCGTAACGTAATAAGGAGCATTGACTATTATACGGAGGACTTTAGACTAGAAGGATTGGATGCGTTTGATGTTCGAAAATTTAGTTGTCCCCCACAGTTCAAGTCCGTAGGTCCAGATGGGTTTCAGTATGGTCTTGTATATTAATAGTTTGTTGTCAATTGAGAGGTTAGATTTTTCTGTTAAATAGTCTGTATAACTGGCCAAGTCGTTGGTTAAGCTCTTGTCTTTTAAGTCTGTATGTGGGTTCCATGTTAGTCTTTTGTCTAAAAGGAATCCAAGATACCGAACTGTATCTGAGATGGGAAGAGGTACTGAGTTGAAAAGGATATGTGGACAGGATCTGCGTCAGAGGATAAAGGTGACATGCTTGCATTTTGATTCATTGATCTTGATGCGCCAATTGTTGCACCATTGCTCTATTAGGGAGAAGTGTCTTTGAATGAAAGTGGGCGGGGTGGCCGAATGGGCTAAAGCGTGTGCACTGCACCGCCGTTGCCCGGTCAATCTGACAAATGAATCAAAGATATAAAAATAGTCATGAGTTCGCGTCCCGGTGCCGAGAGGAGTCTTTTAAATCCCCACCCACACTCCCTGACCCGGGAATATCCCATCCCGTATAGCCTTAACGGCGAGGAAGGGAAGGACCCACAAAAAAAAAAAAGTGTCTTTCAAGGTTTAGGGATGCTGTTTCAGGGACTGGGTGGGAAGAAAGGATGGCGGTATCGTCAGCAAATGTTGCTAGGGAAATCAACTCAAGGGAAGGGTATTAGGATGGGTTGGAATGTCAACTGTGAAAAGGATGTAGAGAACTGGGCCCAAGACACTGCCTTGTGGAACACCAGCCTCAACTGGATAATAGTTGGAGAATTCGGTGCCGCAGCGGATTTGAGAGGTAGGATTTGAGGACTAGGTACAAGGATTGGGGTAAGTGAGTTTTGATCTTGAAAAGCAAGCCATCATGAAAAGCAAGTGCTATGTCCAGAAAGGCACTAGTGTAATATTGCTTGCTTTCAAGCGCAGAGGATATATGGTCAACAACGCGGAGGCCTTGTTGAACAATGGAATGTCTTGAGCGGAATCCAAACTGATGGGAGGGGATATTGTGGGTTTCGAGAATGGGTAGGATACGTTTGAGAAGAATTTTTTCAAAGATTTTTGAGAGGACTATGGTCTGAGGAAAGGTCGTCGAGCCGTGAAAGTGAGAAATTTAGCGGCCGTAGGCCTTTGTGAATGAAGAAGTCAAGGAGGTCAGGAATACGGTTAGGATCTGTTGGCCAGTATGTAGGAGTATCAGGAGAAAGGATGTTGCTATTATGGGAATTAAGAGCAGACAGCAATGTTCGCCCGGGGGAATTCGTGGTTGTGGTTCCCCATTGCTGATGTTTGGCATTAAGATCAGCACCTATAAGGAAATGGTGTCCTAAGGAATTGAGAAAAGAAATGAAGTTAGGTTCAGGTATTACTATATTAGGTGGAGAGTATGCTGCGACAACTGTAACAGGAAAAAGTGAGGTTTGGATTGTTATGACTGAGGTTTGTAGGAAATTATGAACTGGTAAAGGGTACAAGTGATGGGAGTGGGATTGATGGATGATGGCTGCAGTGCCTCCATGCGCTGTTCCATCAGGATGGTCAGTTCGATAAATCTTGTAGCTAGGTATGTTGAACAGGTTAGTTAGTCGGGTCTCAGTAATTAGGGCTATGTCAATGTTATTGTCCTATAGAAAAAAAGTTAGTTCGTTGATGTGGTTTCGAACACCATTCGCATTCCAGAGGAGAATAGAGATAGGTTTTATTGTGGACGTTTAAGGAATTCTTTGCGGTGGGATAAGATTGAATATGACATTTGTAAGTAAGAAGATGATCGGAGTGATGAGAGATCTGAATTCTGAGAGAAATGATGTAAAGAGACTGGTGAGGTCATTCGAATTGTTAGGAGGAGGAACATAAGAGATTTGATGAGGACTGGACTTTTGGTTTTTATTATATTGGGGTGGTGGATCATGAGATTGTTGATGAGTTTGCAGCAGAACCTGAGGTTGATTTGTCTGTTCAGTTTCTCATAGTATTTCAGCAAAAGACACCTCTTTGTTCACACATCTAAAGGGTTGCCTTGGTGGTCTGGGAGTCCTGGAGGTCTCTTCCTGTCTGAGTGTTGTCTGTGTTCTTGATTTCAGTATTTTATACGTTTGGCATCCCTTGTAGTTCGCTGGGTGGTTTTGGTGGCATAGTGCATACACAGTAGGAGTTTGCCTAGACTTGCATGGAAAATTAGAGCATACTTCCATAGGTAACATGAGCTTAACATAATACGGACTCCGACAATATTATGTACATATACATAAGCGATTTCCATAAATGCTAATGTTGGTATTGTTTAATATTTAATAGTACAGATTACAACGATTTAAAAATTCGTATATATAAGGGTAATTAAATTTAAAAAACTTTAACTTTGTCTGAAAATACTTATTTCTACTAAGAAGAGAGTGGTAAGAGAAAGTTGTTTGTTGCGTGCACCACATTTTTTTTTATCCTGTTTTATCTCCAATTTCTCTAAAACGGGCATCTCCCTGTTACGGAGAAAAATTTATTTGTATGTCCACTACTTAGAAGTTTTACAGTAAATTCAGATTCTTCTTAATATTCAGTTATTTTTCTTTCAGACTGCGAGTCCCTGATCCGCAAGATGCTAGTGCTGGACCCCACGAAGCGGTACACGGTGGAGCAGATCAAGAGGCACCGATGGATGGCTGAAGAGGCCCCTCGCCTGCTACCCAGCACTGGGGACCTCAAGCAGGCCGAGCCCAATGAGCAGATCCTCAGGCTCATGCAGAGCTTGGGCATCGACCCCCAGCAGACCAGGGAGGTAGGAAAGCAAACCGTTCAACCTCATAATAATAAAAACTCATGAGTATCCATTTATTTTCCACTACAAAAATATTGGATATTTGACATTACATACATCTCCGACATGTCAAAATAACGAGGTTATACAGCCCAATATTTGTGTAGGCAACCTTTTTTCTCGCTTTTGTTATTAAATCATTTTAAGATTCAAGTGGACGGCAAATGAGTGTTCATGAATTTTTAGTACTTCATTCAATTAATTTATTGATTCAGAAAATGCTGAGATCAATAAATTTCTGAGAGCTTCGTACCACGGACAATTACTCTTTTACTACTTATTTACTGGACAACATCAGAGGCATTGAGTGTTTACATTTTTCCTCTGCTACTCACACTTCCCAACTTAACTTCAACCTTGGACAATGAATGAAAAATATTAACTAGGCTTTGGACATAAAGTAATACAAACCACAGTTTGGGCAAATAAATAAAAATGTGTTGTCTTCGAAATAACTACTTACTTAAAATAATTAGTTACTTTATTGATTATGGTTTGAAAAATGAGCTGATTAGCATAACTTTTTTTATTATTATACAAATATTTTATTTTAATAAAAATAAATGTATTGAATAATTAACAATTCTGTAACTATATTTCTGTTTTCCTTTAAAGAAGTGCCTCTTAGAGTTTTCTCTATTTTTCTCCCACCTTCGTCATTTAGATAATTCGGAATCAATGTTGGGATTCCGTGATGTTTCTTGTCAAGGGTTATAATATAATTTCAAGATTAAAGAAAGGACTGTTTTAATACTTGAGCTCAGAAATTAGCTTTAACTGTTTGCATTTGTATTACATACTCTTTAATTTATTCTATGTGCTACAATGTATTTTAATTATGTTACAAAATATAATTAGTTATTAATTTTAAATTTATTTTATTTTCAGTCGTTGAGGAGTGGTAGTTATGACCATCATGCTGCCATCTACTTTCTTCTTTTAGAAAGGTTGAGGCAACAAAGGAGTTCGTTCACCATTCCACAGCAGTCCCAACCTCCACCACAGCAACAGCAGCTGCCGGAGAACAGTAAAGCACCACCTGGAGAATTGAAGAGGCATCCCAGTGCCATTCCTGAGCCGCCAATAAGAAAACAACCGGAGTCACCTTACCGACGGCACTGCTACACACCTGACTCCATGGCAAGAGAGCTCCAAATACAGCAAACTATGCAGCAAATAGCCCACCAGAAAGAAGAAGAATATTATTATCAAAGGTATCTTGGTTATCAGCAGTATTCTAGTTCCACCGATGAGGGCGTCGAGACTGATCTAGACGAATCCAGCCCTCACCAGCGACTGTCCTACGCAAGCTCCTCCTCTTCCAGTGGTGTTAGCAACAATAAGAGCCTAAGTCAACACCTAAGTACTGATTCCTGTTCCTCTCACGTTTCCTCGCTTCAGAGCAATTACTCCACCTTCGAATCTAGTCTCGATTATCAATATGAAGATTTGGGTTCCAGTTTACCATCATGCACTTCCCAAGGGTCAAAACCGATGACTGAAAATACTGTGATAAGTACAAGTGCAATCCATCCTAGTGCCTATGTAAGTAGTGATGGAAATAAGTCTTGGTGTAAACCGGGACCGAGTGCATCTCACTTCAAACGGAAAATAACAAGGTCTCCTGTGGATTTCCGAGAAGGTAGGAGAGCATCTGACGGCCTAGTCGCCCAAGCAGGTGACAACACCAGTTTAAGCCCACCAATTAACACTAATGTCGCATTTAATAGTCAAAAACTAAATGAAAGTGGGAAAACAAAGGGAGTTATGGAACTTCACCTAGTCCAAAGGGAACACCAAGCACTAAAGACTCTCTATCAAAGTTCTGTTCCTCAAGAGGAGTTGGTACAAAGGCAACTCCAGCACACTGAGTATCGTCAAAGGGATTCTGAACGTCAGCAGAATCTACCCAAAAGGATAAGCCTACCTGAAAATTTTACGTTTCCGACCGGTCAATCGATAGAAGGGGATTTGTTGGCATCAGTTTCCTCGATAAAGGCACCATTACAGCAGCAACTAATGCAACACCGGCTTCTCCAACAAAAGAGGCAAATATTGCAAAAGCAGGGTGCTTTTCAGCAAGGCGACCCAATGCACCTGAATCGAAGGCAGATGTTGAGGCAGGCGTCGTATAAACTTGCTCAGCAAACGCAGATTGTGCCCCCACTCCCTATTCAAGCAGACTTCCCTCCCATCACGGAAGACACTTCTAACGGACGATTACATAACGAAGAAGCAAGCCAAGACTGGAACTCGTTACCAAATTCATTTGCTTCCTGCCAAATTGCTGAACCTGGCCAAACATGGTCGACGCAGCAAGAGAATATCCAAACTCCTTGGCAACCGTCCGTGTACACTAGCACAAGCACCCAGCCCGTGCCGGCCTGGAGTCAGGTATTGCATAAGTAGTTTGTAGCCAGCCCTGGTGTCAAATTGTGCGCCGTTCCATAAACTAGAATCCAAAGTAATAAATAAATATTAAGCTATTACACGTTGATAAATATTGACTATAAGGCTCGCGCCAGCAGTTGATGTATGCGACATTTGACCACGGGTATTTAGATTATTAATATGCCAAAGCTTGACTTTTATTTATGCCTAAATATTGTGCAGACAATCTAGATTAGTCATATAGTTTGCACATTTCATGTTGTTTACGAGCATTATGTACCTATTAGAGGTCTTCGTATTAAAGTATTGCAAATGTTATATATTACTAAAAGACAGATTGCTGTCAGGAGAGGTAATGTATGCGCACATTATCGTCATTATTAAACAATGTGTAATGGAATCACTAATCTACATATTGGTTATTATTTAACAAGCTTTAATTTGATGTGTTGTATGTGTAGATGATGATGATATTGTAATTAGTCCACTTTCAACTAATGACAATGTTTTTACTTTTCATTTTAGAATGCGTTTGTTTTGTTTTTTCCTATTCATTCTTATAGTAATTCTCTGTTACTATTGATCATGTAAATAATTTAGTATGAGCTTTTTCATAGTGTTTATTATTTGTAAATTCATACATATATTTATAGCTTTACTAGGCATTAAATCATAAAATCATTCCATATCCATTAGTGAAATTTGAGATCAACGAATATAAGATGCTCAAATTTATAAATCGTTACCATCCTCTCTCAAATTTGTACATTATGTTGATTGGTTTTTTTTTTATTAATTTATTTATTTAAGTAAATTATTTAAGCTGTGGAATGTGATAAAAGTCTCTTCGTCGACTCTGATAAAAAGTAATTTTATGCTGAGTTTGCATTTTTAAACATTGAATATACTATGTTATTATTGATTACAATATATAAACAATTGTTTATAAATTACATTTTTGTACTTCAATTATAAGTAAAGTTTTTTATACACAAAAGTATGAAATAAATTTAAAACTTGAAATTGTTTTTGTATTTCATCTACCTAAATATTTTAAGAAAATATCTTACTTCACTAAAGCATGACCTCTCTTGTTACAAAGCATGGATTTATCTTCGCCTCATTTCATATAATAGCTTTGCTAATAGCCTAAGTTTTTATATTTATTTTACTCTTATCTTATTTTATTTTGTGCATGGCGAAAATATTTGGTTTATTTATTCTACTTATTTTGGCAGTAAGTTTCATTTTCTGATCAGTAAATTTATTCAAACTTTTAAAAATAGCTTTTTTTTTTTAAAACGATATTTAAATTATTCTGTTCTCTCTAAAAGAACAACACAATAACTTAAAACTGTCTTTTTATAAACTGCAATATTTTGGATATCATTATTTCCTTTGCAACCATTTAATAGTTTCCTAGGTAAGTGATTTGCAATACCAATATTTGGAAAGCATAGAGTAATAGAATTATTTTATTTTTCTAGTCCCATCCTTCGGGTTTGGTGCCATTTTCTCATAATTTAACATATGTCTATTTTTTTTAGGCCATAGGTCAATAAAAATAAAAGAATGAATTAGGACGAATCATATCGTAATGACAAATTTTAAAAATTTTATGGCGCGGTGCATGGTAGGTGAATGATACAAGTTTATTGTCTGAGGCTATACTTGAATGGTAAAAAATAAATTAAAATTTAGTTTGCAGGTTCTTGAAAATGGCTCCTGAAGCCGAAACGTTAAATAAACTTACAGAAAATAAATAAAAAAACTGTGTTTTTTTTTGTGACCTATGGCCTAAAATAGACATATGTTAAATTGTTAGAATTATTTTATCTCTAGACAAGGGAGAAAACAAACTTAGCTGTATTAAGATGCATATCCTACAGAAAGAGTTTATCAATATAATATGGGTTATTCTTTGAAAAAACAGTGTGCTCTTAACTAATTAAATAGTAAATACATTATATAAATGTATTACAAACAAGTGAAGGAACGAAAAACTTTTTTTTAAAATAATTATATGTCTAGTTCTGCCATAAATACTGTAATAAAAGTTGAACTTTGTTTTACATCCTTGGGTATTATTTAGATAATCCTTATCTCTATCAGGTTATTTTCTTTACATGTCAGGATAATAATCCTAAATAGTTTGTATTTTCCTTTTCCTCAGTACACATGGAGTGGGGTGATAAAGAAAACCGAATAGCTGTGATCGCCTTACACAAAGTTAGAAAATGTAGGGTTACAGATTTTTAATACTTTGAAACCTTTGGATATCAGCCGCATGTTCATGTACCGCACTATAAGTAGTTATAATGAGACCCTATCTGTGAGTGATAGACCTCAAATGGGCCGACCCCGCACTGTAAGAAAGGCAAATTCAGTTAAATATAAATCTCTGTCAGATCAATGTCTCGAATGATAAAAAGTGACATTAGGATGCGTGCATTTCAAAGAATGACAGGACAAAGGCTAACCACTTCCCTAAAAAAATTAGAGAGGATAGATGCAGAGTGCCGTTACACCAATGGTCTTCATCAAAAGATTTTGTTTAGAGAAGAGAAAATGTTTACAATTGAAGAAAAATTTAATCTCTATAATGATCGTGTGTATGCACACAGCTCTAAATAAGCCCAGCAGGAAGTCATTGAAAGAGTGGAAAGAGGTCAGCACCCTTCCTAAGTGATGGTTTGGTGGGAAGTTTACTTTGATGGCACCACAAAGCTCCATTTTTGTGAAAAAGGAGTTAAAACAACCTCTAAAAACTATCAGGGCGATATTTCAGAACCTGTTGTCAAGCCTCTAAATGATACTCTGCTGGAATCATTGGTTTTTCCAGCAGCGCTCCAGCTCACAAGGCCAGGTCAACTCAGCAGTGGCTGCTAAAGAACATTCCAGAGTTCATCTCTGCCTCGATTTGCCCTCAGGAAGCCTCTGATCTCAACCAACCAGATTATCGGCTTTGGTCCGAACTGGAGTGAATGGCATGCCATAGAGCACACCCTAACTTGGAAAGCCTCAAAAAATCTCTAGTCCGAGCAGTTGAACGCTTTCCTCAAGAAGTGCTGCGTGCTGCTATTGATGACTGGCCACAGAGATTAAATGCCTGTGTCAAGGCAAAAGGGGGACATTTTGAGTAATTTCTTTTTTGTTTTACTCTCTATAGATATACATTTTATTTTATAATAAAGTTTTAGAAAAATTTAATTTTTCTGCTTAAATCTGTATACATTTCCTTGTAACAATATTTATGACAGGACTAGGTGCATACAGAATGGCTTCGATAATTTGAATCCCTAATAATCCAAAATCTCTGGTAATCTAAACAAGAAAGCAAAAAAAGTTAAAGTAGACTGACGTGTGATGGAATGGAATGGCTCTGTTTCTCAGTACGTATATATAAATTTTCAGATTGAAAAGTTTCAAACAAGAAGACAAAGGGAATACATGGAACAAACCTCATCAAGTGTAATTGTATGTGATTTACAGAACTTTTATTTCTAATGTTTTTAAGCAGAGGAGAACTATAAAATATCTTGGAGAGAGAAGGGGGAAGGTATCTTAGGGGGGATGGGCACCCCTGGACTTAACAGATTTTAATGCCATTTAAGGTTGGGGCTTGATAATATCAAAAACAGGTATGGAATATGTTTTTTATTTCACTGTAAAATTTATTTACACCCATTTTATTTTTCAAGAGCAATGCCTGCACTTTTTATTTTTTTTGTTATGGAATCCCAAAATTATAAAAGACCTCTCTAAAAATATCTGGTGTGCCCAGATTTTTTTTGTATGTAATAAGTCCAAAAAAATTGAATTAGATTAATTTTTCTGAAAATCTACCACTGAAATGAAAAAAAAAACAAAAAAAAAACAAGACCCCATATAAAATTTAGGTTTTATATACTTTCTAGAGGTCTACAAGTATCCACATGACATAAGTGTAACAACGAAAAGACTTATTACTAAAAAAAAATTAGGCATAATTAAAATTATCAACGGCATTGAAAGAAGTATATTGAGATAGTTAAGCATTACCATAGAGTCTAAAAACTTATTGCCAATGGCCCTCTAAGGTAGATAAAACAAATGTTAAAAAAAATGTTAAGGAATCTTTAATTTAGATTAACTACACAAAAATAAGGTTATCTAACTTCTGATAATTTGAATCTTTCATTATTTTATACTAACTTATCTAGAACATTTGTTTTGAAAAAAAAACATTTGAAGAAAACGGTTTTACAATTTTTAAGAAAAAATAAATTGTTTGTATGAAATTTACATTTGTACCAAAAATACAATAAAGTAATGATGTTTTGTCTTACGAATATGGCACAGTGATATTGAAAACTCAATTATTGTTCTATGCTTTCGAAGATTTAAATGCCATCATCCTTTGAGACACCTCAGATCATAATCGGAAATAGATTTGGCAGGAAATTTATAATTATTAAGTTTAATACAGAATTACATCATTATTAGAATCATATCAGGGTGTAGAAAAAATCATTGTCTTGCTCTGTCTCTATAGACCTGAAGTATTATCAAATTTTTGTAACTGTAATATTTACTTGCATTACATATTTTTGTACTTGTTTTTTTTTAATTTGTTGCAACTGTCTTAACTAAAAAAACATAATTTTTGAGGTTGAAGATCAAAATGTGAATTTTTAAATTATGAAGTGCATTTAAATTATTGCAATTTTAGAATTCTGTCGTGAGCCGAGGTTAAGTTTATTTCATTAAATTACTATCTTTAAGTTTAATGGATTGTTTCATTACTTTCTTAGCTTTTCATTTCATTTTTTTTTTCACTTATTTTACAACAACTCTTTTTACGTTCTATGTTGCATATTTTGTTATTCCATGTCCTCGCCAAGTCATAGCAATGAAATACAATCTGGCTTTCTTCCTTGTGTTTCTTTTAATCATTTTCATTTTCAAAGGACAGCTTTGATGGTTCGGTCATGTAACGAGGATGGAATCTGTTCAGCAAAGAAAACTATGTAGACTACACCTGAGGGGAAACGACCTAGAGGAAGACCAAGAAATTCTTGAGAGAATAACCTCAAAAATATTCTTAATGTTAAAGGAATTGGATGGCCTGAAGCCAGTAGAGCAGTCCTCGACAGAGAACTTTTTTTGCAAAAATCTCTACGCTGAAAGGTAGAAGAGATTATTGAATAAGAAGAAGATGGACTCATTTTATTATTTGTAAATTGATACTTATCTTTTTATTTTCAAAACTTCCGTATCAGACTTTTTCTCAAAAAATATTTCATGGATAAATAGAATTATATAAGAAAAGAAAATGTCGTTGTTAGGAAAAATCTTCTATATGAATTCCTTTTATTTTTCTATAAAGGTAAGTTAATTTTAATCAAACTTGGTATAGTGCCTGAAGTTTGACAGTAATCCTTCCACACGGGTAGTTCTCCTTGGTCATTAGTTGAGGAAGATCGCTCTCAGAACGTAGAGCCCTGTCTCCCTCAACAACTTGGCCCTCAGTGCTGCAAACGAGGTACAGGCAAGGACGATATGCTGAGCGGTCTCGGGACAACGTTCTTACCATATTTAACTAGCTTTGCTCGGTATCCCCCAGATCTCGTGAGGAACAATAAATAAATAAAATTTAAAAATTCCCAAACTAAAAAAATCCAATCTTTATTTCTCTGGTTGTATAATATGAATAAACGAAATAATTTTTTTTTTCTTCACAAATAAAATTCGACTAAAAAATTAATTAAATGTCAACTTGAAATAAAAATAAATATTTACATAAGTTTTAACTTTTGTGGTAATACCTCGTTGGCTGATGTTCTTATGTCCAACCTCTTTGGGCAAAGACACAGACTGCGGTAAGCTAATACAGAACAGTTTAAAAATAACTTAGGGAGCGGGGTTGCTCAGTGGTAGGGTAATAAGCTTCCAATGCTCTACAAATTGAGTACCCTTAATTATATAATTGATTAAGGGAGAAAACCTGGAGGTTGAGTGTGATCCTGGCCCGATCCCCTCC